ATACTCCAAGTTAGCGGGGGGGGGACAAGACCGACTTTGCATTTCCCAACTCCCATTGATAGTGGAAATAATCGATTTTTTCTTGCTTCTACGGCAGTTTTGATGTAGTTTGCGGCCATTTTCTACTGGCCAGAGTGAGAGCCTATAGCTGGCTGCCACGAATAGACAGGAAGATTCCATTGGCCAGCGTGAGAGCCAACAGCTGACTGGCATGAATGTTAACTAGCATGCTAGCATGCAAAAAACAATCAATAGCTGCATTCGTCACAAGTGGGAAAAATTTAAATCTGCATGGCACTTTACTCCAATTGGCTCATAGGTTGGGTGTGAAAAAGTATTTGTTGTTAACATTCTTTTTTCATTTGGTTTTTCCAGTTATGAGTCCTTTTTTTTAAAGCTGATCATTTTGAGTTCATTTTGTTTAGTTCTTTTTTCGTAACAGATTTAATGTTTAGTATAGAGCTTAGAAAAAATTCACAGTGTGAGATAGGCAAGAAGTAAGGCATGTAGCAACATCAGCACAGCAAAGGGCACTCCTTTAAAGGCAAAAATATTTTAAGTCAAGTGATAGCGATTGCTGTATGAATCTAACATGGGCAACGCCGGGCCATGCTGCTAGTTCAGTAATAAAGGAAGCCAACAAATTCAAAAGAGAATTTCAAGTAAATGAGGAAGTGCAAATAAACCATAATACATCTACTGCAGTGGTAAAGAAAATAAAAAGAAAGTAAATGCAAATACAATGTACCAAAACAGAAATGATTGTAATATAATTGGCCCTGCTCTGGCATCTCATCTACAGTCACTTTCTCACAGATCCGCCATCGCTTCTCTCTGTCTGTTTTACAAATACTTTCATGGTAACTGCTCCGATGAGCTGCTTTCACTGGTTCCCAGACTTCATGAGTTCAAGCGCCCGACGAGGCTGGCATCCCGCTCTCACCCCTTCACTGTCAAAACTCCTAAATGTAACCGTCTCTTCTACTCCAATAGCTTCATGTCTTGCACCTCTCACCTGTGGAACTCCCTTCCCTATTCCAGTTTCCCTCAGAGCTATAATCTCTAGCTATTCAAATGTAATGTCAATTGACATCTCCAGTTGCCTTGATCTATCCACTATCCTTCTCCTCATCCTTTCTTCTATCACTCCTATCTGATTTTGCTCAAAATTTTCTGTAACCCCTTGCGTCCTAGTGGCTTCTCACCTTGCTTGGGGTGAAATACTTAAAAAAAAAAAAAATAAGCCTCTTCATGGCCGATACTCTTCTTGTATCAAACAAGCTGAAGTAGACAAACTCCGTATCCATCAGTAGTTACGTAGTGCAGGGTTAAAATTTGAAATCAAAGGTCTGGTTCTTGCTGCACAGGACTAATGCTTGTTAACTAGATATTACCAAGCATACATATTGATGTAATGGAATAACCAGTCACCCCTATGAATGATTACACTATAGGTAGTAAGTACCTATAAAGTCAACTGTCCACGAGAGACTCTAGGAAGAGTGAGAGAGAGACGATGCAGACACATCCAACATTCCAATTAGTGGCACTCATTACTAAATTGACCTGTGTGTATAACTGTACCGTATTTCATATTGTACTTGTTGTGTACAATAAACCTTTCTTCTATTATCCAGCTGGTGTTAAGTATTTATTCCATTAGCACAGAATATAACACATACTGAAATATTGAGTTAACTCCAAATGCAGATTCTGTGATAAAAATCCAGAAACTATTGACCATCTTCTATCAGGTTGCATCAGTTAGCACCAACTGAAAATAAGAATAGAAATATGGGCCAATATCTGCACTAGAAAATATGCCACTTTTATGGAAAGAAAACTGCAAGAAATTGGTATGAACATCACCCAGACTTGGTTATAAACATGGGGCTTTATAATCACCCAAACACCGTGATCAAAGCCCACAGAAATAAAATATGCTTTCTTATTGACATGGAAGTCCCTGCAGAGTTTAATGTGTCTTTGAAAATACAAAATACAAGTATCTTGAAATGAAAATCTAAAAAGTGTGGTATATGAGAACACCAATAATTCTAGCTGTAGAGATTCTTGGTAGCACATGTGTTAAAGAAATACAAAAAATTGTACTCACAAGTACAGCTTGCATATTTCAATAAATTTCAATACATTGAAGAATTTTACATATTCTTTATAAAGATGAAATGGATTATTTTTTTATTAATCTGATTGATTTTATTGATTTAAACATTATTTTTAATGGATACCCATATTTGAGTAGATGCTCTGTTTATTTATTAGACAGTATATTTATTTTATTTTGGTCTACCAGCCTGAATATTCAAGAAATGTTGTTAAAGAAAAACATGAAACCGCTGACAGGATTCAAACTAGCATGCATACGTATATTTTTTATTGTTGTTATAAACTATCTCTATATCTGTGTTTGTGTGTGTGTGTGTGTGTGTGTGTGTGTGTGTGTGTGTGTGTGTGTGACACTTAGCCGTGTGACTAAATCTCCAAGGAGAGAAGGCTGGACAATCTTACCTCATTCTAGAATGAAAATAGGAAGAGAGAGAAAGAGAGCTTGTGTTCTTACTTTTATAGTCCTGGAGAGCACCACATTTTCACTTAATTATCATTAGAAATGGGAAAATAAATTATCTTCAGAGACATTAACAAATATTGAGAAAACTGCATCAAAACATTTTGAAGAAATCCTGTATATTCCAAAATTCAGCAATAATCCGATCTAATTCACGTCTGTCTGTAGGAATCTTTTTACAAGTTAATGGAAAATCGATACAAAACCTTGACTCTGGAAGCCATACTAACACAGAAGTTTATATCATACACACAAAATACATCTTCTTTCTTGTGTAAATATATATCAGTTCATTTTTAAAGTTTGTGCAGAACTAGCTGTTAAATAATCTTTATCAAAATGTTTCAAACATTGGAAATATAGCTTTTATCATTAATTGAAAACTGACAACTGAAACCACTCACAGATTGGAATTCTAACTTAACTCCCCACTGAAATGTATCACGAAATTTACACCTTTCAAAACAAATTCGATAATAAAGTTTACTAAATATTTGAGAAACGAAGTTCAAATATTTCAGGATGTTTAGATGGACCTTCAATTAAATCAAGTTAGCATTGGCCTTCTTCTTATCTTTTCTTTTTTTAATCATTTCACAGAAAGTAAGGCAATAAAGCCACCAAGACACAAGGAGTTACTGAGTGTGAAAGAATATGTGAAAAAGAAAACATTATTAAGGAGAGAAAACAATAAAAGAAGAGGAACTAACTAAGAAGACAGAAGATAACACTTGATATTGCATTTAAATTTTTGAAGATCAAAGTTGACTAGGAAGCAAGAAGTTGAAAGAGAGTTCCACAAGCAAGAAGTGCAACAGAAGAAACTGTTAGCATAGAACTTACAGTTGCATCTAGATATTTCAAATGTAAAATGAGGAGACCTAGCTGGTAATCTAGTACTGTACTTAAATTCATAAAGTCTAGGTACCAAAGAGGAAAGCCTATTAGAACAATTACCATTAAAATATTGATAGAAATGACACAGGGAAAATATATTACCTCACTTTCTAAAGATAATAGTGAATAAATAAAATACATTTCCTAATAACAATTTTAATTTGGAGAAGCTTCAACTGTCTATTCCAATAGTCCCAAACTCAAAGACTCAAAATGGTCATAATGTGCACAGTAGGCCAGAAGCAGGCATATTGCCAGAATATAGAGTGGGTATCAACTCCAAACAGGGTCCACTAAAAGAAACATATTTTCTCACATTAAAATTAGTCTGCATTATATGGACGTTATTTTTTTTTTGGAGGGGGTCTGGGTCGAGGCAAAATTTTCGGGTGTGGGACAGATAAGTAAAGTGAGTATGGGATATAAAATACAGAGCAGCTGTACTTATAATTTATACGCCTGATTTACTTCTCATTTTTCTCAGATCACTAGTTAAAAATGGTTTTCAGCTAGTAAAACATGTAGACTTCAGTGAGGACCCTCCTTCATTGAACCTGGTGGACTGTTGTTACCTGATAACAAAAAGCACATCACTTGAGGACTTTCAAAAACAGCAACAACTAAAATAGATAGCATATGTATGTCAAAAAGACAATAATGATATAATAAAGATGCTGCTCTAAGGAAGGAAGCCCCAATTAATAATGGAAAACATTAATATAGATGGAACTTGGGAAACATATTTTCCTGAAAAATTGTTTTAAAAATATTTTATAAATTTCATCCACCAGCAAGTGAAGGTTTCCTTATAATGAAACGGGTAATATTATCATTACCATTCAAATTTGAAGAAAATGTTTGCGGGTCACATATTTGAGACCAATTATTTATTCTGGTCAAGACATCAGGATGCTGTGAATGATATTGATTATAATGACTAACATGAAAGATATTGTAACCTTTGACATTCTATACATTCATAAGGGTATTTTAAATCAGGAAAAGTATGCATCTGTAAGGAGTATATTGAAAATGATGGTTTACATTGTAAAAGTTTCAAGATGCAGATTTATAACTTTTAAGTAAACAAAAAAGGAAAACATAACAGATGAATAAATGAAAAAGAGTAAAAATTGTTTAATAAAATAATAGATAGATTAAAGAAAGAAAGAAAGAAAGAAAGAAACAAACAAACAAACAAACAAACAAACAAACAAAGATATTCAAGTGATACAGAAGATTATAACGTTAAGAGGTTAGCATGAGTTCCCAAAGATATTTGGACAGGAGGATTATTATAATGAAAAGAAAGAAAGAAAGAAAGAAAGAAAGACATTCAAGTTATACGGAAGTCTGAAGCATATGAACATTAATATGAATTAACAAAGTCTTTTGAACAATATGGTTATGATGATGATTATAACATGAAACTAGAAAAAGACAACAGAGAAGAAGGAAGGGAGAACAAAAGAGATTATAACATGAATAATTACCAAAGAATTAAAAAAGAAAGAAACTAAGGAAGGAAGAAGGAAGGGAGAACAAAAGAAAGAAAGAAAGAAAGAAATTCAAGTGATACAGAAGACAATAACATATGAACATTAGCATGAATTACCAAAGACTTTTGGACAGAATGATTATTATAAAAAAGAAAAAAGAAAGAAAGAAAGAAAGAAAGAAAAAAGAAAGAAAGAAAGAAAGAAAGAAATTCATATGATACAGAAGACTACAGAATAATTATAATGAAAAGAAAGGTTAAAGAATGAAAGAAAGAAAGATATTCAAGGAAAGACTTTTATGGACAGAATGATTGTTATAATGAAAAAGAAAGAAAGATAGAAAAAAAGAAAGAAAGAAAGAAAGATATTCAAGTGATACGTAACAATATAACATATGAAGGTTAGCATGAATTACCAAATACTTATGAAGAGAATGATTATTATAATGAAAAGAAAGAAAGAAAGAAAGAAAGAAAGAAAGAAAGAAAGAAAGATATTCAAGTGTATGTAGAAGACTATAGCATATGAAGTGTAGCATTAATTACCAAAGACTTTTGGACAGAATGATTATTATAATGAAAAGAAAGAAAGAAAGAAAGAAAGAAAGAAAGAAAGACAGAAAGAAAGAAATTCAAGTTTTTCAGAAGACTATAACATATGAAGGTTAGCAGGAATTACCAAAGAATTTTGGACAGAATGAATTATTTTTATGAAAAGAAAGAAAGGAAGAAAGAAAGAAAGATATTCAAATGATGCAGAAAACTATAGCATTAACATGACTTACAAAAGTCTTTTAAACAATAAGGTTATTATAATGTAAAGAAAAAAAATATGACATATTAGTGGTACTGAAGATTATAACATATGAACACTAGCAAAAATTACCAAAGATTTTTGATCAGTAATATTATTATAAGAAAAAGAAAGAAAGAAAGAAAGAAAGAAAGAAAGAAAGAAATACATTCAACTGATGGAGAAGACTATAATATATGAAGGTTAACATGAATTACTTTTGGACAAAATGATTATTATAATGAAACGAAGCAAATAAAGAAAGAAAGATAGATAGATAATCAAGTGATGCAGAAAGACAATAGCATATAAAATTTAGCATTAATTAGATAGACTTTTGGATAGAATTATTATTATAATGAAAATGCAGAAAGAAAGAAAGAAAGAAAGAAAGAAAGAATGAAGGAAATACATTCCCAATATGGAAAACTATAGTATATGAAATTTAACATGAATTACCAAAATCTTTTGAACAAAAATATTATAATAATGTAAAGAAAGACAGCATAGAAATAGTACAGAAGATTATAACATATGAACACTAGCAAGAAAGAAAGAAAGAAAGAAAGAAAGAAAGAAAGAAAGAAAGAAAGAAAGAAAGAATCAAACAAACAAACAAAGACATTCAAGTGATACAGAAGACTATAACATATGAAGGTTAGCATGAATTACCAAAGACTTTTGGACAGAATGATTATTATAATGAAAATAAAAGAAAGAAAGAAAAAGAAAGAAAGAAAAAGAAAGAAAGAAAGAAAGAAAGATATTCAAGTGATGCAGGAGACTGTAACATATGAACATTAGCATGAATTACCAAAGACTTTTGAGAAGAATGATTATTATAATGAAAAGAAAGAAAGAAAGAAAGAAAGAAAGAAAGAAAGAAAGAAGGAAAAACATTCCTGATATGGAAAAGTATAGCATATGAATGTTAACATGAATTACCAAAATCTTTTGAACAAAAAGATTATAATAATGTAAAGAAAAACAGCATAGAAATGGTACAGAAGATCATAACATATGAACACTAGCAAGAATTTTCAAAGACTTTTGATCAGTAAGATTATTATAAGAAAAAGAGAATGTGAAAGAAAGAAAGAAAGAAAGAAACAAACAAACAAACAAACAAAGACATTCAAGTGATACAGAAGACTATAACATATGAACATTAGCATGAATTACCAGAGACATTTGGACAGAATGATTGTTATAATGGAAAGAAAGAAAGAAAGAAAGAAAGAAAGAAAGAAAGAAAGAAAGAAAGAAATTCAAGTGATACAGAAGACATTAACATATGAACATTAGCATGAATTACCAAAGACTTTTGGACAGAATGATTATTATAATGAAAAGAAAGAAAGAAAGAAAGAAAGAAAGAAAGAAAGAAAGAAAGAAAGAAAGATATTCAAGTGATACAGAAGACTATAACATATGAAGGTTAGCATGAATTACCAAAGACTTTTGGACAGAATGATTATTATAATGAAAAGAAAGAAAGAAAGAAAGAAAGAAAGAAAGAAAGAAAGAAAGAAAGAAAGAAAGAAAGAAAGAAATTCAAGTGATACAGAAGACATTAACATATGAACATTAGCATGAATTACCAGAGACTTTTGGACAGAATGATTGTTATAATGAAAAGAAAGAAAGAAAGAAAGAAAGAAAGAAAGAAAGAAAGAAAGAAAGGCATTCAAGTGATACAGAAGACTATAACATATGAAGGTTAGCATGAATTACCAAAGACTTTTGGACAGAATGATTATTATAATGAAAAGAAAGAAAGAAAGAAAAAAAGAAAGAATCAAACAAACAAAGATATACAAGTGATACATAAGATTATAATAATGTAAAGAAAAACAGCATAGAAATGGTACAGAAGATCATAACATATGAACACTAGCAAGAATTTTCATATAAAGTTTAGCATGAATTACGAAAGTGTTTTGGACAGAATGATTATTATAATGAAAAGAAAGAAAGAAAGAGAGAAAAAAGAAAGAAAATGAAAGGAAGACATTCAAGTGATACAGAAGTCTATAACATATGAACGTTAACATGAATTATCAAAGTCTTTTGAACAATATGATTATTATAATGTATAGAAAGAGAGAAAGAAGACATAGAAGTGGTACAGAAGATTATAACAAATGAACAGTTGCAAGAATTAGCATGGTCTTTTGGCTAATTTTATTATAATGAAAAGAAAGTGTGAAAGGAAGAAACATAGAAAGAATTTAGTCATAGTTCCTATACAATATATGAAAGAGAGAAAATACTAAGTGTTTAACATTGAATGTTGAGATATCTGGTGAATAGTAAAAGTATTTGATCATCAGTATAGAAAGCCATTAACGTTTGCTGCAGTCGTCTATATTTCAAGGCTACTGTAATATGACTCAAAATATATGCCAATTACTGTTCAATAATGTCAACAATTTCAAATTTTGCATAATGTAATGCATTGAATGTCACAGATTTCAGACAATCTTAGCTTACGTCAACTTTCATATTGTAAAGCTTAGTCATTAATTAAGTAACACAGATTTTCCCTTAGAAATAATTTGAAAGATAAATAACAAAATAACAGAATCTTTTAGCAATGATATTATTATTTTTCTTTGGATATTGTCATATTTAATATAATGATCAAAAATAGTGTTTTCAAATGTTTTGTCCTCAGAAAAACTTCTCGGATTGAAAAAGATTGATTTATAGAAAGCAATAATATTAAAGTTTAAACAGAACATATTTTTTAAATTGTCAATATTTTCCAAAGCAAAACACATTTTTATAAAGAAGCACAGCTTGGTTTGATGTCTCTTTAGTCTCTTTAAGAAAGGAAAAAGTACTGAACAGTTATGTAATATCAATTCTATTATATGGCAGTGAATGCTGGACAATCTCCTCACATATAAAGAAGACATTTGTATCAAGAGAAACAAAGAAAAGAGTACAGAAATGTTATGTAATATAAGTATTCCTATATGGCAATGAATGTTGGACAATTTTTTCACAGATGATGAAGCAATGTGTATCAAGAGAAACCAAGAAAAGAGTACAGAAATGTTATGTAATTTAAGTATTGCTATATGGCAATCAATGTTGGAAAACCTTTTCACAGATGATGAAGAGACATGTATCAAGAGAAACCAAGAAAAGAGTACAGAAATGTTATGTAATTTAAGTATTGCTATATGGCAATGACTATTGGACAATCTTTTCACAGATGATGAAGAGACATGTATCAAGAGAAACCAAGAAAAGAGTACAGAAATGTTATGTAATTTAAGTATTGCTATATGGCAATGACTATTGGACAATCTTTTCACAGATGATGAAGAGACATGTATCAAGAGAAACCAAGAAAAGAGTACAGAAATGTTATGTAATTTAAGGATTGCTATATGGCAATCAATGTTGGACAACCTTTTCACAGATGATGAAGAGACATGTATCAAGAGAAACAAAGAAAAGAGTACAGAAATGTTATGTAATATAAGTATTCCTATAAGGCAATGAATGTTGGACAATCTTTTCACAGATGATGAAGAGACATGTATCAAGAGAAACAAGGAAAAGAGTACTGAAACCTTATGCAATATCTATTCTTCTATATGACAATGAATGCTGAACTATCTCCTCAAAGATGATGAAGATACAGGTGTCAAGAAAAACAAAGAAAGGAGTATTGAACTGTTATGTAATACCAGTTCCCCTAAGTGACAATGAATGCTGGACAATCTCCTCAAAGATAATGAAGAGATTTGTATCAAGAGAAACAAAGAAAAGATTACAGAATTGTTATGTAGCATCAGTTTTCCTATATGGCATGAATGCTGGACACTATCCTCATAGATGAAGAAGAGATTTGTATCAAGAGAAATAAAGAAAAGATTACCAAACTGTTATATAATATCAGTTTTCCTATTTAGCAATGATTGCTGGACAATCTTCTCAAAATTGCAGAAGGGACTTCTATCAAGAGAAACAAAGGCAAGATTACTGAGTTTTTTATGTAATATCCGTCCTCCTCTATGTCAATGAATGCTGGACAATCTCCTCAAAGATGAATAAAAGATTTGTATCAAGAGAAACAAAGGCAAGATTACTGAATTTTTATGTAATATCCGTCCTCCTCTATGGCAATGAATGCTGGACAATCTCCTCAAAGATAAATAAAAGATTTGTATCAAGAGAAACAAAGGCAAGATTACTGAATTTTTATGTAATATCCATCCTCCTCTATTTCAATGATGCAGGACAATCTCCTCAAAGATGAATAAGAGATTTGTATCAAGAGAAACAAAGGCATGATTACTGAATTCTTATGTAATATCAGGTATTTTCCTGAGAATGAATGCTTTACTGTCTCCTCAAAGATGGAGAACAGATTTGTATCGAGAGAAACAAAAGCAAGATTACTGAATTTTTATGTAATATCCGTCCACCTCTATGTCAATGAAAGCTGGACAATCTTCTCAAAGATGAACAAGAGATTTGTATCAAGAGAAACAAATGCAAGATTACGGAATTTTTATGTAATATCAGTCCTCCTCTATGGCAATGAAAGCTGGACAATCTCCTCAAAGATGAATAAAAGATTTGTATCAAGAGAAACAAATGCAAGACTACTGAATTTTTATGTAATATCAGTCCTCCTCTATGGCAATGAATGCTGGACAATCTCCTCAAAGATGAATAAGAGATTTGTATCAAGAGAAACAAATGCAAGACTACTGAATTTTTATGTAATATCAGTCCTCCTCTATGGCAATGAATGCTGGACAATCTCCTCAAAGATGAATAAAAGATTTGTATCAAGAGAAACAAATGCAAGACTACTGAATTTTTATGTAATATCAGTCCTCCTCTATGGCAATGAATGCTGGACAATCTCCTCAAAGATGAATGAGAGATTTGTATCAAGAGAAACAAATGCAAGACTACTGAATTTTTATGTAATATCAGTCCTCCTCTATGGCAATGAATGCTGGACAATCTCCTCAAAGATGAATAAAAGATTTGTATCAAGAGAAACAAATGCAAGACTACTGAATTTTTATGTAATATCAGTCCTCCTCTATGGCAATGAATGCTGGACAATCTCCTCAAAGATGAATGAGAGATTTGTATCAAGAGAAACAAAGGCAAGATTACTGAAATTTTATGTAATA